TTGCTTTATAACTACTTATGATAATCATTAATATTACATATAGTATTATAATTTGTAGGGAGAGAATTGGGTGACAAGAAAGTGCTTAATTTAAATTTTCAAATATTATAGGCGCTTGCTGTAATCACCGGAGTACGTGACAATATTATATTACTGATAAGATATCTTTTTTCTTTAATTTAATTAGTAGTAACTGATAGGAATAAAAACCATAATAATACAAAACCACATTGGTCCTATAATATAGTAGGTTTATGATGTATAGAATTTTAGTGCAAATACTCGAAAACTCGATATCGAATAGGTATAGGTAGGCCGTAGGCACTTAATCAAATAGATTAATCTATTTTACCCATTGTACCGGCCGATTACTGATTTCAGTTAAGAGGACGTCTCACCCGGATGTGTTGTCTCCGTCTTACACACGTACGACATAGCAAATTTTCGTTTGCTAGTTTCAATAGGGTATTGTCAGTTTTGATATTAGAGTGAATCGACCTATTATAAAACGTTTAGGTCACAACATTATGTGTGTTCTCTCGTTGGTTTTTTACGATATTTTGATTTTTAAGTGAGTTATATACATTTTAGAATATGAATACTTTACATACCCATAACTCACTTAAAAATTAAAATATCGTAAAAAACCAACTAGAGAACACAAATACTGTTCTTACCTAAAAGTTTGATAATAGGTAGATTCACTCTATTATAAAAACTGACAATATCCTATTGAAACTAGCCAACGAACATTTGCTATGTCGTATGTGTGTAAGACGGAGACAACACATGCGGGTGCGACGTCCTCTTAATCGTATGATCAAATATCATTAGTTTAAAAATATCATAATATAATAGCGCATCGAACACTGTTACTTTGGACCTCACGGTTCATAGGTATTAGGTACTATGTATAATTAATAATTATGTACAAACAAAATCATAATGTGTGTTGTTTGGTTAAAAAATATTATGCTCATTCTATGAAACCGAATAAAAATTAAAATATTTTAAAAAAAAAGTTAATTAACAACGGTTAAACACAACCCAATTCCCAGAAAAATCACCAATGACCTGTCATTTTGCCAAAACGCATTCGGTCGATCCAATAAATACGAAAAGCGAATTTAAAATAAATTATTGAAATAATATTAATAAACCTGTATTTTAATTACGAATATTTTTACCCTTACGATTGGTATTATATTATTATACTTTATTATTATTATACTTTTTACAATTCACACACACCATCATAGTGTCTGACAATTTTTTCCGCTGCGTTCATATTTAATCAGTCATCTCTCGTTTGGCAGGTCCACAATAATCCCCAACGGACCAGACGCAAAGGTCAAACCCACATTAACCATTGGTCATTACTATATATTATGGATATTAAATATAATATACCATTATTATTTGATGCTTTCGTTATTAGTAGTTATTACACTCGAATAATAATATACGAAAACAGTTTCTGTGCAACGTGTGAGCACGCCGACGATGAGGAATAACAATTTAACGAGTTTTTTCCTTATAAGGTTTTTATTATTCATCAGCAAACTGTTAGATTAGAAACATCTATCTGATTATTCTGTAACCTATTAAGCGATTAGATTAACGGGCCCAAACCACCGCTCACTGCATCGGTTCATTCGTTTATGCGTTCGTCAAAGAACGATTAAAACTTCTGAAGGCTGTACAAAACGTTTCGTGTACGTGTAAGATATAATAAAATATAATATATTGTAATATTCGTTTATTTTTCTTAGTTTTCAGTTCGTTTGAAATATAAAATTATAAATATTACTGGAATTTTTTTTACCAGCAATCGTTTCAAACTTAAAACGTCGTTAACTCTCAATTGTTCGACCAGCTGATACTTCGAGGACATCCGCAGTATCGCAACACGACAATTAAAGCCAAAATATACACACGAAACATGTACGTTACAGGTATACTAAGGCTGTAAAGCTGTTATTAATATTATTTTTAGCTGATTGTATCCAACTTTTAGTAGGGTATAGGCTAAATACGCGATATTATTATTATTTTCGTCGTCGTTGTATTTCTTCATCGACCCGGTAAAATATATTTTAATATAATATTGTATCGATCGGCGTTGACTCCGGAGGTGGTACAAATCACTCGCCCCATAATTGTGGATTCGTAGAGCACTATTCAAAGTTATAGGGCGAGGTGTGTGGTGTGTCAGATTTTGTCGTGCAGTATAATAGTGAGGCGTATAATAAATTGCAGTAATAGAAATCCTCTTTTATCGGGTCACAGAGCTGACCATTATTGTCCAAGTTCATAATACAATATTATATATTAATTATATCCTATAGGTATTTTAATAATAATAATATTATGATGATGGATGTAAGTTGTACTAGCGTTATCACCTCAGCACTGCGAGTACCTATTGTAGGTATATAATAATATATAATATAAAAACCTAGGCACCCGGATAACGATGCAGCGCCGACACTTACCTATATACAATATGTATTTGTATATAAGTATGTATCTATATAATATTATGTATATGTCTGCCTAGCTGACTACCAGCCCGTGTAGTATACTGAAGTTAATTATTCTTTGAAACACAATGCCCACAGTCCCACACCGAATTACCTTATCTATATCCATGTACACGAAAACCAGCCTTCTTATCACACTGACATTAATTGTCCGAACCTATAGTGTTCACCAGCATATTTCACAGCACTATAGGTGCCTATATACTTATCTCTGTCGATTATATACCTTGTCGCCATGACGTAACCCTTCGTTAAAAGCTTATCTCACACACAAATACACTCACGCGCGCGCCTCCATATTATATATATAATAATAATATATTATGTTGGTATACTATAATAGTATAATGTAATATAATAGTATTATTTATGTACATATAATATATGAGACTTGTTTTTACGAGTTAGTACATTCCTACCGAAATATTACAACGGGCGACGCAATTATTATATGACGTTATAATAATAATATATCGTTACGTCCGCGTAAACAACACGTAAGTATTTAATAGACAAATTTATAATCTCCTTTCGGTTATTGGTGTATAATCTTCGTATAATCTGCGTAATCATGCCACGATCAAATTATTTTTTCCCTCCAAAAGAAGTTTTTGACGGATTTAGCCTAAATCATTTAGGTTCCATGATAACGCATAAGGGATACCTAACTATAATAGTAGTATAGTCTATATATTCTAACATTGTAAGGTATCGGCACCGACGAAGCTTGGCTGAGGTCCGTCCTCGGATAGTGGGTGTTCGGAAGACCCTTTGAAGCCGATAAAAGGCGTCACCACCGTTTTCCGCCAAAATCAATCTTTCTGTTTACCACCAGTATAATATGTATTTTCATTTTCGCCACCACAAATTTGAGTTGTATGTTTTGGTAACCCATTATTGTAAGAATTGAAATATTATATTAAAGATTACGTAGATAATAATATGTTCACAATCATGCCTTTTCTCCATTATTAATAGAAAAGAGAGGAAAGATTACGTCGCAATACATGCGACATCTGACAATAATTAAGATAAAGTGTTTCCATATGGTTTGATCTTCTATCGATTTTACAATACCCATTACATTTTAGTTTGTATTGAAGTCCGTGAGATAAGAGTACATAAATCCAAATTGTTTACCTAGATATCGATGACTCGTTTGCGCACAACGAATACCGTCGTTAAGACGTTAACCTAAAAACGGACGACTCGTTTGCGCACAACATAAACACTGCATAACATATATTTTATATTTTTAAATTTGGACTAACTTAAGTAATTGATTATCAGTACATCAGCATATCAATATTCAATATATCATTATCATCATTGAAAATAATCGACGTGTATTAAACATAATATTTTTAAGCAGTCGTTCTCCAGAAAGCGGTACTACCTACTGACTAGTGACTATGGATATCGAAATTTGTGATATTTTTGAAAGAGAATTTCGAACTTTAAAATCTAGTGATACACATTTTAGGTGTACAAATAAAAATGTTCCTTGAGTGATGTAGTAAGGTTAGTTATTAATAAAAAAATATAAAATTTTAAAAATTAAAAACACGCATAGAACCACTATTACTTCTTATTAATTGTATAATTATATATTTATTCAGAACAGACACACACGATGCAATTTTTAATCTGTAGGCCTATATTAAGTGAGAAGAGAATGTGCGTTCTGCTCAAAGTGAAATGTCGCAAATGCACCTTTAAATTTAACCAAATGTGTCCAAACGGTTGGATTTGTGCGAAAATTAAAAAGGAGTGCGCAGAGTCGACGTACATTCAGCACGATGTACATTTAAATTGAGGCGTAATTATTGTGGAAATATATATATTATTGCACCGGTGGTAAACGGACTTGGCGCGGTAAACGGAAAGGTTTATTTCGGAGGAAAAGTGAATCACCCGTGTTTATTACATCGCGTACACCTTTGGACCGGAAGGTGGCGTGTCGTCGGTTTTCCATCGGTAGTAGTTCCATATGACCATATCCATACAATTATATACTAACGCAATTGTACATGTACACCTAATCGTTTATTGTTATTTGTTGGTTATCTTATAACGTGCACCGCGACAATGTCCCGGAACGACTTTTTTACCCTCACTCTTGTATAATATTGGTATAACATTTAGTAGGTATAGGTAATAACTTGCAGCCAACCAGCCAGTCCTGTCCGAACGCTACGCATTATCACAATATAAAAAATATTACCTAATATTATTACATATAGATAGGTATTTTGCATATACGCACCACGTAAATGTAACACGATGCGTCGTGCCCAGCTTAGATATATTTCGTAAAAAACAATAATATTCAACATTTATAATAGCATATATTTTTTTATGTGTTCGTGTTGACCAGGCGAAGAATTCAGAGTGGCCCGCGTGACACTCGCGGTCCACAGTTCGCGGTACAATAACCCGTGATCGGGCGATGAAGTCATGTTCCAATGTTCGTCGACGAGCACAATCGGCGCCAACGCAGGTGTTGTCTCCAGTGACACGCGTAAGTACCCATAGTATGGTATATACTATATACCCACACCTTGGTATTTCACCACCGGGTAACCCTACTATTGTCACCCCTTGCATCGATCCCGCAAGGGTCGTTATTAGGCCGTCCTATTAAGTCGCCGAGAAGACGACTGATTCATGCGAGACATACGAAGTAATAATATCATACATTCAGAGTTATTCAAAATGATTCAACCGGTTTCAAGTGGTTTAACATTGTTTTTAGGTTTATAGTGATGATTGGTACATTAATCAATAAAATAATAATGTTTTTAATTTCGCTTATGGTAGAACTTATATTGTCCATATGACTTATCAGTTTTCTCGATTATACTATCAACATATCATCGATAACCAAAATATTCATTCCACATTTGCTCCAGCATATCCGTTGTAATTGACCCCACTAATCGTTTATAGCTCCTCTGTGGTTGACGATAATGGTGGTACCACTGGTCCGTATCTGGGGTACTGTATCTTAACATGTCCCCAAAAATAACTAACCACATAGAGTAAGAATAGTAAGATCAGGTGACCAGCTGATCAGGCCAGGTGCAGCCAAGCATCAGATGAATATTTTTTTAATAACCTTGTATTATAGAGGGGTCTCCAAACTTTTTTATCAGGGCCACAAAAAAAAATCAAATGCTCTTAGCGGGCCAAAAGTTTATTAACACATATAATTTTTAATTTTTATGAACTATAGTTAACCTACCCTACCTATTATAAATAATATGTTTACTTTATATTTTGATAAAATATTGTTTACTGTACAATAGACTGAAATAAAAATAAATAGGTATAAATATAATATAATATAAATACATTTTTGAAATAATTTTTTTATCTATATTTACATATGCGGGCCACGGGCCGGTTAAAACTTGTTGGCGGGCCGTATCCGGCCCGCGGGCCGTAGTTTGGAGACCCCTGTATTATAGTATCAGTTACGTTGGGTTGAACGTAGTTTTTTTACATAATTTCCCCGTCCCTTAATTGCCAGTTTGTCTACGCCAGACCATTATATACTGTGGTACCTATATACCGGAAATATCCAACCGGTCTACCCTCGCATTCGCGTCGCTAACATATTTTTCGTCATCGTCTCGACATTATTTACACAGTCGGAACAGTTATTCATGATAATAAACACACTCTGCAACAGTGGACATTTTTTATTTCATACCAGTATTTGTTTAATCGGAGAGGTTTCAACGTATCAATATTAATTCACTTTTTTTTCACTCATAATGCATTAAATCAATTTTGTAACAAAAATAATAGTTATATATACATAAATTGGAATGATATACGCTCCCTACTTATATGTAAATTATTATAGATATTTTTAAGTTCATAATTTAGTCACAGTTTGATTGGCCATCCGAACGTGGTGGGAAAAGAATTAAAATGATAAATAGAAATGAAATAACACAATCGAATACATTATACAACTCTATCGGCAGGCGGGTTTAAAGCCCTTCTAAGGGTCTAGGCCCTAGAGGTGTGCTGTTTTCATAAATATTTTCATGTTTTCTGGATAAAGACACTTTTGAGCCCCGGGCCAAACGTTTTTAAAAGCCCATATAGGTATAGCTGTCTTCAGGAATGGGAGTTTACCAATTGCGCTTAAAATGACCTTTTAATATACCAATTGCGCTCGGTTTTTTCTGGGTCGATTGACAAATTGCGCTCAGTTGTTTTCAGGGCTTATAATAATATAATTGATATTACAGCATCTACTATCTATACCTTTATAAAAATGTGTATTAATAAATAGATTTTTTCAGTCAATATAAAAAATTACATAATTACATAAAAAATATACAATGAACGTCAATATGAATAATACAATTAGTACATTATAAATCTATACCTAATATAATACATACATATTATATAGGTAATTACAATTTAATAAATGACTATTATAATTTATAATATTATTCTACATTACACCTAGTATACTTTAAACACTCCATATTCCTTATTCCATAAACACTTCGTCTTATAGAATTCCCATCGTTTAACGTTAATTCAACTGCACTTGATTGCAATCGTTTCGAATTAGTTTCAGTGGTTTCGTGTTGTTAATTGATCTATTGCTTTTCTTTTTAAAGAATTAGCAATAATTTGCCCGTTAATATTTGGTATACTAACCTACAATTTAAGCAGCGCAATTGGTATACCAGTCGCAACTGGCGGTGTTTCCGAATTGCGGACAAAGTGACAAAATCCATGTGAGTTGCGGACGAAATCTAAAAAGGTAACATGCTAATTGCGGACACAAATATAACTAATATAAGATACTAATTGCGGATAATGTTACAATATTCACGTGGTGAAATCAGTAGGATATCATATATACAGGCTGTTTTAAAAACTATGACGAAAATTAATAATGACGATAATCTATAAATATTTTATAAACAATTTTTTCCATAAAATTAAAACAATCTATACTTCAACAACATTTTAAAAATAACGATTGCTCTTTTGCAAGACACAAATATTTTTAACCCCACCTACCAATTTTTTTTTAGCTATTGTCATAAGTCCTGAAAAAGTGGTGAAGGGAAATATTTGTGTCCACAACTAACGTAGTTTTTATTAAAAAAAGCTCTGTACGCAATTAGTATTATGACAACGAAACTCGTGTCCGCAATTGTTATATTATAATTCCTAACCTGAATAATTCGTCCGCAACTAGTAGTGTCCGCAACTGGTAGGTATTCAAATTGAAAATTCTAGATAGTATATGCAAGTTGTCGATAAAATACAATGATAAAAAAATTGGACTTTCGCCGAAAGTCTTGTTGTGGAGGGAGGTGGTAGGTGGGACTGATGGGAGGGCCGGGTGGAACCGTGTCAATACTTATCGGTTATCCTCATATCATCGGAAAATTGTGTTGTTATATTATCGTTATTTGTATGCGTTTATATATGCTCGTTGGCATTCGGTTTGTATGTGCCATAAGTGAAATATACTGTGTTTGTATACGATTAAAACGCATTATAAAAATCAAAAAGTACCGATAAGACCGATTAAGAAAACGTTGTGTTGCGCTATCGATTCGATTTTTACGCCTTGACCTTTGACACGTCGTTCCGTCGCGAGCCCCTCTCTTGCAACAATAAAAACACACACACACACACACACACACACACTTATAGGGCGTTATAATAAATAATTTCGATTGATGTATATAATATTATATGGTTTGTGTGTGTACATGAGACCTTAACACATACACAATAATAATAATATATATAAATGTAATATGTATTTATATTAAAATATCACGTGGGACAGCGGCGTTTGGTTAGTCCGCCCCGTTTCCCCGTCTTTTATCAAACAATATAATATTATATTATACAATTGACATATTGTTGTATTTTTAATTTTTAAAGGCAATCTCAGATCGCGACGAAACGCGACAATTATCATTAGTCCGCTGTGTGCGATTACGCACGCGATTAGCTGTCGTCGCGACGGTTTGAAAACGTTTTTATTGCACTCTCGGACTGCACGTAGAAAACTAGTTCATAAATTATTAAATTTTATTTTTAACTAATTTATAAACGCAGATGGCATATGTTTTTTTTTTAACTTTTTTAAGTTTCCTTCATAATAATTAATTTTTAAGTATTTAAGTTTTAAAAGTTTGGTGTTACACGTAAAAGTACGTTTTAAAGCGGTTTTTTTTTTATACATTATAATATATTATAACTTCACGCACAGAAGGTAAGAGAGAAATATAACTATTTTGGAGACAAATGTTGGTTTACATGACCGTATTGTCGATAAATTGTCCATTTATTTTCTTGTGTTTGAAATACCAATATAATATCGTAGATTAAATATCTATTATAACTTATTATTAATTTGTATGGTATTATACAATAGGCTGTTAGCTGTAACAGCTGTTCGTGTTAAGTCGTTCCTATATTCGTTTTCGATTTCAATACTCACAACGATTTAATAACTACACGGACTATTATAATAGTCCGTGAATAACTATAATATTATCATACTGTTATCTAATCGATGGTACCTACATATTATTTGTCAAACTATATGTATACAGCCAGTATTTATAGTATTATATTATATTTACAATAAGATTGTCTTGATATACATATATTTACGGTATTTATGGTCAATATTCAATTAAAATTGAATAGATTCACACTTAACAGAATAGTACACTATATTATATTATTATGTTTACTATTTAGTATTTATAATAGTTGATATTATAATTTTCAGTATTAAAAAGCAAAAATGAAGTCGTAGATTAAAATCTAATATTCTAATGGTTTCTATAAATTACACTTTATTGTAAAAACAAAGATTAAAATATAGATTATAATTAGGAATTTAGTTTACCAAATTGATAATAAATATTTCGATCTCAAGTCGTGACTCGTGTCTCGTAATATATACATATAATTATAAAATAACTGAACAAAATAATAAAAATATAATTCATGTTCAAAGCAATTTTTGGTAAAAAAAAGTGGAAATAAAACAAGTTATTATCTTTTAAAATTTTAATATATATACAATAGCAAGTGTTGTAAATAACTGTGAATAAATAATGCATATTTTTACTAATAATTATTTTAATGCAATTTGTTAATTGCTCCATAGGTAGGTATAATATCTGGTATATATTATAATATATTATGGCCGTACAAACGCTATCACTTATCAGCTGATTATTTTTTTTCTATGCTATACATAATCTTAGACCGGATCAAATAGTTTTGAACTAAAAAGGGATAATAAATAAATAATTAAAATTTGAATTACGTTTTTATATTGGTGAATGTTATTTTCCCTAAGATAGTAAACTAAACTATTCTGTAAAATGTGTACATATTGAAAAAAAATGATGAGATTCAGATTAATTTTTATGGTCACAAATTGTGACTCCCAATCAATTAACAAACATATTGCAATTTTTATAATTTCAAATTTTAATAATGATGTTAACCATCGTACTTCTGTTACTCATTATATGAAACTCTAAACTTTATATGATATTCATGTATTCTTTGTCATTAGAATATGAAACAATGTGTTTTTGAAGAAATCCATTTTTCTTTATTACACAGACAATTCAATTTTAAGTACATATTATGTTTTGGGTTTCCGTGCGAGTTCTTGAACTACCTTTGAAATAAACCGAGATTCTTACATTGCATAAAGAGATGTAAAGAGGTGACGAGTCAGCACAACTAGATGACCTAACCTAAAGAACCCGTAAAACACGTCCGGTTTCCGATATTTCTTATTTAGGTAAGGATCGGACGTTCATAATGATTGTACATTTTTTTTATCGATTACTCATTGTCCATTAATCAATAGCAGTACTCAGGTGTTACCTACAGTACCTATTGGTTATTTTTTCTCTATCAATGTCGCGTTGGACATTTAACCGCACAGTCGAGCTTTTTATTTCATTAATAAAAATTGCTCTTATCAACACACTTTCATTGGTTTTCTCAACAACTATTTGGTAACATAAATTATTCACTTAATCTAATTTTAAATTATATAATTACTCGGTGATTTACAATGAACACAATGAATTAAATTCTTTTTTACTTAATTTTTAAGTGAAAACAATTTGTTTTGATGAATAATTTTTCATTGTCCTCGTCGATAACAACTATATACATAATATAGTCTATAAATGTATTATGTTATGGTTAACTCATATTATTTATAATATATTATAAGCAATTTTTTTAAAAAAAAAACGAAATTTATTAAAATGTTTGTCATTCTTAAGAAGTGTCGTTCTAAGAACAAAATATAATAATATAATGCTTGGTCTGACGCGCATTGCAAAATGTATTACCTACCTTTATAATATTATGTACTTTTATTATATTGAACGCGTATATTGGTTTTTGTGGTTACAGAAAACGGTTACCGCGGTCATTACCATCACGATCGAATAGTGTACGTGCCGTCGTCCAAGCCAAATATGTTCGGTCTTGCGCACCACCAGTACGGCGCACCACCGCCGCCACCACTTCCACCGCCCACTCCGTCCACAGTCGGCACCGCAGTACAGGGCGCCACCACTCACACGTGGCAGAACACGCCGGCCGGGGTACAGAGCAGCAGTCACCTCGTCTCCTCGGCCGCCGGTTCGCCGGCCAACAACAACGGTGGCCACTCGAACGTTGTCCCGGTGCAGTCGTCACCGTCGTCGGCCACCCCGCCGTTCTATCAGAGTGCCGCCGCCGCCGCAGCCGCCGCGGCCATCATGTGGCCAAACCCCACGGCCGCCGCATTCCAGGCTCATCACTACGGTAAATATTACCAAGGAATATTATTTGAAATCATCACATGATAACATTTTAACGTTCAATTGTTGATACTTTAATGCTCATAATAATTATTAATTTGTTCGGACAGCGTTGGTCGATACTAATTATTATAATCAGAGAGAAGGCCAGATGGGTTCTCTCTCAAACCCTCGAACTTTCTCGAAATTCGAGGATAATTTTAGTTTGAATTTGAACATTTCAAATGATGGTTTGAATAAAATCTCATTCAATAATATTGAACTTATGGTTTAATCATAATACACTTATATATATATATATATAAATGTATAATAATATAATATAGCATCGTGGTTGTCAGTGAACACTTAACACCCTCTACCATGATTTTGGTAACGACTGACAATAATACAGAATTTTTAATTTATTGTTACCAAATCGTGCTTTTTCATCTGTACGATTGTACAAAACAGTATTTTATTTTTTTCATAAAACTATTCTTTATCCTATATTATGACAAAAATTCTATTTTATCAATAGTTACATACTTTGCTATTTTTGATACAACTATAATATCTAAACATAAAATACACATATTTTTATACAGATAATTTTGCATATAGTCACCACGTTGATATGTGTTAATAATAATAATAATTAATATAATAATATCAAAATATAATATTGTTCGTATTATTACATATTTTGTTTATATAGTCATGAAAACAGTTTTATCTTAACTTTCTTGAAAATGTGTCATTCACAATTTATTTTAATCAATTACAATATTATAAATTTGTATTTGTTAATAATTTTATCAAACAATACAATTTTCGTTCTGCTAATTTTTATATTTTAATAATTTTCATTTTCTATCAAAACTATATCGTACAAATTTATTTAACTACAATTTAAAGTTAAGATAGTAATATATACTTAATTATTTTATATGTATACCCGATAGTTTTGACTCATAACTTATAAGACTTGGGATTTAATGGAAAAGTCAAAATATCAAATAATTTTCAAACGCATTTTTACTTTTGTGAATTTCTAGTGATCGAAGAATTATTATTATATACGTAATTAATTTTCAATACTTTGATTAATTAAATAAAACACTATTAAACCCTCTATAATGTTTTTGTTCTTAGACCAAATAAGAAATTTGCTCATCAATAGAATAATCCTAACTTCATTGTTTGAGTAATGATAACACTATATTTCTTATAAATTACATAGATATGTGTTAATATTATTTTACATTTACTATTTAGGTGTACACGTGGTACGTGAATATTATGTAAATAATAAATACTTTCGATTATAATCTAACTGCATTTTGCAAGTCACTGTTCATTTTTATAAAACAATTTATAATAAAATATTGATGATAAAATGATAAACAGTTGATCATATATTATAATTACTAGGTTATTAATTATTTTGATTAAAAGTAAGACATAATTATAAGATAACGATTTTATAATCAATCTTAAAAAGTGAAATGGACATCTTGATGATTCTCATCGATCATCGTAGCCTGTAGGTTTATTGTGCTTTTATATACCTACACATTATTTTTACTTAGATAAGTTAAATTGTTTTATTGTTATATACTTATACAAGTAGGTATTATTATACCACTTAATGCACTGTCGTGTTTATATATTTCAGTAAACATTATGTAGATACACAATATATATGCACTATACTCCATGCAGTATCTGTAATATACCATAATATTAATAGTTTTATTAATAATAATATAAACATATTATATATAAATGATAAAATGCACTAAAAATATTTCAGCATAGATACCTTCTGATGTACCAACATTATTTTAGGCTTATTGGAAATAAAAATATATCTATACCAATGTAATTGTAAAACACACATAAATGTCATATTGCAACTCGTGACTCGTGAGTCGTGACAAGAATTCAAATTACAAATTCTCTCGGAAACGCAACTTTAGAATAGCAAAAAAAGATTGTAGATGGTAGTAATAATAATTGTTGAAACTAAATATGCTAGGTTTTATTTTATAAAATAGGTTTTTTATCGTTTTAATTTTTTAATGATATGGATAGGTAATGCGTTCACACAAAACTTGAAACTCAACATCAAGACGTATAAACACATAATTTATTGTATAATATTAACTGTATAACGTCGTTTTACTCTTACTGTAGGTTAATTACTTGTCTATAGACAGTAATGCCAAAATGTCTAGTAAAAACGTATCCTCTACTATAGCAATAATAATAAACTACCTTTTATTTTTCGTATCGTTTAAATAATAATATTGACATGCATATAGAGATAATACTTTATGATCAAATACAGAGCCCTAATAATTTATATTTGGACGTATTAGTTAGTTATTGGTTGCTACTTATTATTATAAAATTGGAGTGATGGAGTATATCTAAGTAGATTCGCGTCACTGTTTACTATACCTCGTAATAAAAGTAAAAATACTGTAAAAACTAATTTGTACTTATCAAGTTCCTTCTACCAGGTAATTGCTATTATACATACCTTACTTCGGTTAATGACGTCGAATCGGGATATAACCTTATTCGTCGTGTGTTAACATTATTTGCATACAAATGTGGTATCTATCGTAAGTTTTTAGGGAATCACGTTAGTAACCGAATGAAATTGGAAGCGTTGATAGTGATAACGAGATCGGATACAGGATATTTATTTAATTATAATTTTAATTGGAATAAATATCTGGTTTATAACGATAACTATACCTAATTGTACCCATGTTTTTGGCCAATAACGTTAGGTAGGTACTAGCGAATTAAGTTATTATCCGTTTTAATGTAATTTACCGTAAAATTTTCATATTTTAACATAATCTGTTCGTCAAAATGATATATTTTGTACATTTCGTCAGCGTTCTCTCTGCGCATCATGTTTTTGTCATTTTACATGTACCTAAGCTGGGTATGTATTTTCTTTAAAATTATCATTGGTAAATTAACGTTTATATCAATATAATATTATCAGTATTTGTTAAGGTTAGATAATACTCGTTGAAGTATATACTTAGAATCTTAGTACTTAGATACTTACTGTTATTAACAATTTTGTACACAGTACATAGTATATTTCTATTTTAATATGTAGGTAAATATAAATGTGTAATCGTTGTAAAATATTACTAGCTTAGTATAACACTATCGTAAATAATGCATTTTATTAAATTGTATTATTTATTAATCTGTTTAGCTACACAACTCCATAGTTATAAATCGTGATGTATTAATATTTAACACATATTTATTTTTGCTTTAATATATTACACACATTTTTATAATTAACTTTAATAATTTATATTCCTAATCGTATCTATATGCTTGGTAATGTGTGCTTGAATATTACAATTTATTAAGTTTGTCAAAATAATAATAACATTATCTGGAGTAATTTTTATTAACTTTAACATTGACTCAAAAACAAATTAGAGTGCAAATAAGAACGATTGGAGAACTTAACTATACGATCTATTTTATGTACAATAGTGTGTAGTAAGTAGTGAAGGTATTGTGGAGTGGACTATTTAAAATCGGATTCTCGACATTTTAATTATGAGTTTAATGATAAAGTATTTGAACAACGTTAACTTTTTACGAATAATCATGTTTATGATTTATAATCACATTTACAATAAGTTATTTTTCTTTATCTCGAATATTTTTTTAGATTATCTAGCACTCTTGAATAAACATTGTACAAATAGTCCCGATTCAAAACTTAAACTATTAGACATTTGAAAACATAATATAGTAAACGGTGTTTGTTTCTGATGTATTGTCGTTTAACGATTGTATAGGGACATAGGTTATTTGCGTCTCTTCGTAATTTATATTCATCTCTGTATTTTTTTAATAATTCCTTAACGATTGCTAATATTTCTAAACAAAATTAGTTAGAATTATCGTTCACTGGGAATCGACGACGACTACAACGTTTCCTGAAATAAGTCGATATTTCAATTCGTAAGTACACAATAAATATTTTTAGCGATTTTTAAAAAGTAAAGAATGGTCATCGTAAATATAACAATAGTATAATAAAGTTTGTCTTAAGAATCGTCAACGTACTATAGGTACTTAAGTATACCAAATATGTAGGTAAAATCACGCATTATGATTATTGATCACCTAACGTCAAATATTTATGAAAAAACTAATCTATAAGACGGTAAATTAAAATATGTCACCGCATTATACTCTGGTAGGTATAGTAGGTTTTATATGGGTAATAGGTGGCCTGTATATATATATATATAAGGGGTATGCATGTGCGTATGTTTGAGTGTGAGTCTGTGTTCACACAAGTCGGATCACTGGTCCAGACGATTACCGATCGACTACCGTTTTGCTGGCGACGACGACGACCACGACGACGACGATGACCGGTTTCTTCTTCATATTCATTGTCGTCGTCGTCGTGTGTTGGCGCGTCGAAGACGGCGGTGGCGTTATTATTGTAGGTGTATATAATATAATATTATGGAATACAAATAAAAAAATATTTTAAAAAACCCCACCGACCTCCGATCCGATCGGAACATGACAAATTACTCAACCCGAGGGACCAAACACGATCAATTAGTCCCGAGTGCATTAACCGGTTGCTCTCCCCTTCCCACTTCACGCTTGTATGGTAATTTATGTTTGGCGCCATAAGGTTTTTAAAACACACTCAATACTCATGCACGCACACTTATGTATATACTCTTTTTTTTATTTTATTTAATACATTTATACATTATTATTTTTTTTATACTATTATTATTATTATTATTATTTGTTTTCACGTCACACGTTCGGTCGCGTCTGCTTTTAATTATTAACTTTCAGTAAAGGTATTCACAAGGAATTCTTGCAGACTGTACCTATATTATCTATATAATAATAATAATAAGAAGAAGAAGAATATAAGAAGAGTAGATATATTATATAGGCTTACCTGGTTCGTATTACTGTGGTCGAAATGCGAAATTTTGACGTAAACACTGCAATAATTATTATTATACCCCGCGACAAATAATATAATGCGATACAGGACGTGGTGAATTAAAGATTACGACGTCTGTTATCAAGTTTCAGACGCCGGAATGGATTTGCAGTTCGGAGATGGCCGGGAGTGTGTCAACTGCGGTGCGATCTCCACGCCGCTGTGGCGCCGCGATGGCACCGGACACTATCTGTGCAACGCATGCGGGCTGTACCACAAAATGAACGGCATGAACAGACCGCTTGTCAAGCCGGCCAAGAGATTGGTAGCCTTCGAGACCGTGAGTATACACTGTTAACAGTATATAGGTATACAAATACACACACTTAGGTATTACGTGTAACGAATATCGGAATATATAAGGGAGGCTATTATTGGTGAAAAATTACCCAATCTAATCAGAAATATAGACGTTTATAATTCTAATAAAAATCTCGATATTGATGCCAATTGGCATAAGTTAAAATTTTCTGACCCTTGGCTTAGACCCTCGACCACCATCCACTGCACATACGTTGGGCTTGGGAACCACTGTTCTAGAGAACACAGTTTTATAGATCAATCTAAAAACATAAAGCAAAGATAGATCCGTTAGGTTATCAACCCCCCCTCCCCCAAATAAAAATAATATTTCACTGCTGCACACCATGCATGATTTATCATATGGTACATAAAAATATAAGGTCCAAGCAGTTCTAGTGTAGGTATTGAAAGTTGTTGTCGTATTATTAAGTCATATATTGGTCAATGTAATATATTATTATGATAATATGAAGACCGACATTTCGTGATATATTATAAATTATAATATTTAACATCCTTTGTTCCGAATCACGAAAATGCATGTATACATTTCTTTAGGTTCTAATTTTCGCACATTCAACATTTTTTACCTGAAAATTGACAACTCGTTTGCGTACAACGAAAACTCATATATAAATTATAACATGTGTATAGGTACAGTCTCAACTTGATACCCCAAACCTCGATAACTCCAATTTTTCTTCTTGTTCCTTGCAGTGCTTTTAATTAGAGTTTGAGGTATATAAATTTAAAACATATACCTAAATCGAATTTATTTTTATTCCCTTTGAGATTTGAGTTAAAGAGACTAGGTTGTAATTTTAAATATTAACCTTTCTAACGCAAATTAATTATCGGTCACAGATATCAGTACAAATTATCGTATATTTGATAGAAATATAAGTATATTTTAAAATAAATTAAAATAATCATTTGTTTAGATTACCTATATAATTTTGGATTTGACGTACTTTTCATAGGCACTGCAGTTTCATCACGTTGGTGACTGTGTAATGTGTTGAATCGTTAGTGATAGGCCAGTAAATAGTGAGGAAACTCAGGTTACTGTGCAAATGAGTTTATTTTTTAGGTTTTTCATCATAGGTTGCTAAAATGAATGTGCTCAATTGAGTTTTTTTGTTGCGAAAATGAGTTGCATCCATACAAAGGTAAAAAAATACGCAGTGGCAGTTAATATAAGAAAAATCGTAGACGTAGAATGCGTGCATGTATTTGTTCAACACCGTTCAATACATGTTTTTATTGAATCATTGCTCAAGAATGTGTGCATTTCGTTTTGCTTAGGTTTTTATCCCTAATTGAATTATTATCACGCGTGTGATAATGAGAGATTTTATTTATGATTTCTTTATGAAATCATAAATAAAATCCTTTAATTTTTAGTTTTAAGAATTTCTAATGATATTTTTATAATAAATTGTCATTTTTGTTTTGAAGAAATTCAGAGTCTCGATTAACTAATTAATGTTTATTACTATAATATATGCGTACTTATTTCATATGTCAGATGTCGAAATACAGGTAGCTCACTTTTTTGGTGGGGGGAGTTTGTGGGTAAGGAGTGTGAAAACAATTTACCCCCATTTTTAGTGGTTTTAAACTTGAAAATAAAAATAAAAATAAGGTATAGTTCATTTTTTGGATTTGTTTCAATCGTTCGTATGTTGTGTTCAAATTTATAACGTATTACATTATTCAATTATTGTGTAGTTTTTGTAAATTTATTTTCTCCGTAGGCATCCAACAGACGCCTCGGTCTGTCATGTACGAACTGCGGCACCCGAATGACCACCTTGTGGAGGAGAAACAACGACGGCGAGCCCGTGTGCAACGCGTGCGGTCTGTACTACAAACTGCATGGCGTCAACAGACCGCTGACGATGAGAAAGGACGGTATCCAGACAAGGAAGAGGAAACCTAAGAAGCAGCCTTCGTCGTCGTCGTCCTCTTCTTCTAACGGTTCGTCAAATGTAGAGAACCATAGACAATCCACTTCCGCGGCCATAGATCTATTAGGTTAGTGTAAACATCGTGTTCAGTTCGATAATACCTACTATTATGGTACCAGAGTTTTTAAGAGCATTAACAATTGTAAAGACACAGAAAGGAAACGTATAGAATATAGATACGAAAACAAAAGTCATGAGACTCGTGGCTAAGAATATATTAGGTATAGTCACTAGTAAATTCGAGGCGTGTAACCGGGTGATAAAAAAAATAATGATCGATTGACCTGAAGCTAAAAAAAACCAACGAAGAAATTATAGTAGTTTACAAAATATATCAAGAGACGTCTCGTCATTAAAATAATGTTCAACGGTGATAAAAATAAAAGGTTGTAGATAATTAAAACTTTAAAGTTGTATATATAATAAGATAATGAAATGAGATAAAACTATAATACCTACACTATAAACGGCGTTAATACTCGATAGTCGATTGTACTAAACTATAACACATAATATTATATATTGTTGTACATCTGAAAACGGTTTTATAGATCTAAGTATCTATCTATAGTAGTCGAAGAAGTAAAAATATTTATTATTTTATTCACCCCGTGTCTGAATCACGGAAATAAATAATATTATATTATAAAACCATATATATTTTGCATTGAAACTATTGAATTCAGGTTCAGATCCGTCGTACGTTTATTGATTCAACTCTATGATTAAAACTCTATATAAGTCGTTTCGTTCATATCATGGCCTCGTGAATGCTCAATATCAATATATTTATAATAATAATAAATTTAATTTACCTCATCAACTTTAAGTACCTATAGATAATATGATCTATTTTTTATGTTGTATTGATTACGAACCACTCGAATGACGAATTTCTCGTGGCTGATTAGAAAAAGCAGATTTCGCTTATCATTTTCAGCCTTAGTTATGGTTGAAAAACATTTTATATAACTTTAATTTATAGACTATTTTATTATTATAGACATTAAACTACTAGACGGATCATCAGGACAAGTCTCGGGTGGGTGGTGTAGTCTCGTGATAGAGAGGTGGCAGTTTTATATTCAGATATAATTTTTGGAAGATAAAACATTCTTGTGCTCATGTGTTGTGTACATTGTACACCAAGAGCAGTGTAGGTACTTGCGTCAGACCGATGAAACCATGACAAAATAGATAAGTATCGCCACAGTTTTTTGATACGTATCCTCCGCTCTTACTTCACCAAATGGCTATATCGTAGTTCTCCACCTCTTATTGACTATCAATAATATACATACATAATATATAAAATAGAAAAAAATCAACTAATCAGAAGTGGAGAACTATGACATGGGCCCCGCGAAGGTGAAGGAGATGCGCATACTGAAAAAAAACTATTACAACTGAGATGATACCTATCAATTTTGTCATGGCTGAAACTACAGTCGTGCTCCGTCTAGTAGTATTATGTTTAAGCTTTAATGCAGTTTCACATAAAAAGGTATAGTGTAAAGTGGACTTCAGATAAGATAAACAAACATTTTTAACTACATATATTAACAATAAAAAAAAAGAACAAACTTGCAACTATTTATTAATTTCAGTGATTAATCATATCATAATAATACTTTAAATTAAAATCATAATTGGAATCCGAAATTGTATGAACATTGTGATAAAAATTGTATTTAGCATATTCAAAGGGTTTTTACTATTAGATCATTATGATATTTTGTGTGCATTATCTAGCGTTTTAGTGCATTTTTTTAACTATTCAACAAAAGGAAAAAAAACCACAAAAATAAAAATGTCTATACCTATTATAATAACATTGTTTAAATACTGCAGTGTGCTTTCCCTACAATAAACTTTGCACTCCTCGTCCTCGCCACAGATGATAATTCTTACATGACAATAATGACTTATGATGATGATATTTTTATGGAATGTCGGATGACATTTATTATAATATGGAAACGACAAAATTAAACAAACAAATTAATAATAAATTATTAAGTTAATGATAAAAATATTATTAATTAACATAAAATCAAAATTTCAAAAATGCAGTCATAAATCTTTTGTCTTCTACACTCTAAGTGCATATTTGGTAATTGTTTTGTGCGTAACTGCATGTATGCATGTAATTGTGTGTGTGTGTGTGTGTGTGTGTGTGTGTGTGTGTGTATTTCATGTTTCTTGTAAGTTGTAAGTACTTAAGAGTTTATATCTAACTTACCTATGTCATATGAACAAGTTTAATATATCAGTCACGTGACCATCTAATAACAGATTAATTAACACAAATTGTTTTTTTGTTTTTAGTGAACAAGCATCACGCAACGGTGGAAATCAAACACGAACACACTTACGATCCAGCGGCGGCTGCGGCTGCCGCTGCGGTGGCGGCGGAACACTTCCTCTTTCCCGGCACAGCGGGCGGCCATCATCATCCCCAGCTGGGCGGGTTCAGTTTTCCGATCCCTCAGGCTCCGGTGCCTGCACACAACTATCAACACCTGTTGAACGGACACGTCAACAACAAACTGATGGCGTCCTAGAATCCGACTTGTATATAGATTGAAGTCTGAAACAGCAGCCTTTATTGGATTTTGTACATAATTATATAGTATATATCCTATATATCATAATATTATCATATTAAATGTATAATAATATATAATATAGTTAATAAAGTTCGATTTCTTGCGATTTCTCAACTTATTAAAATACACAATAATACTAACAAAATTAATATATTATAATATACGTAGGCAGTTGTACTATGTATGTAAAAGCATATAACGATAATGTCAATTTGTAGTAAATTTTTGGAACACGCAATTCAATATTGTATCACGCTATCTTCCTAAAACTTTATTTAAAACCAAAGTTATTGCTTATCACGTCGTGTATTTCTATTGTGTTTAAGTTATAGCGCGATCACAGCCGGCCTTTATAGTTTTAAGAAAACGCCCATTTAAAATTTAAAAGGTATTTACGAAGAAAGAACTTTTTAACGACTACCTAACTGTTTTTTAATTTGTCTAGTCTTTTATATGTATAATGTATATATTATATATATGTATATAATATATGTTGTAAGCATTAAAATTCACCGATTTACTGATTCGTTTATATTTTCTGTACTTAAAGTTTTCGCTCGACGCTGCTTAATACTCACGAAATTCTATTTATTCATCTGTTAAAAATTGTACATAATATTTTATTACCAGGACCTAGATAATACCTGTTCTTTCAAGCTAAATTTCGATTTTCCATTATGTATATATTATAGCTTTTTAGATTTACTATTAATTTATATTATGTGTAAGTATATTTATTGTATATAGAATATACTTAATGAAATGTAAAAAAAAACTATTTTATAAATAGGTATGTTAGGTAATCTATTATATTTACTACTTAATTATTGTATACAATTAAATGGCTATCATCGTAATGTTATTGTTGTAGCAGCAAATACTACGATCATGACGGTTGGAGCGTATCTATCGTTTATAATAAATATAGCCCCCAACATTATGTATATTATTTATAATATGTCTTACTAAACATATTATATAGTAATTATCTATCAGACTCGATGTATAAATTCTACTCTAATAACACGGTGAAAAAATTTTTGTATTTAATAATGAACTATTATATCAAAATCATAAACAAAAAAAAAACATTTTTCAGATGTATAACAACGTAATGCACAAATATACGTTTTTATTAAAATATTGCGCGTTTCTTTGCTATACTAACAGACCATGCGTAACAACCACTGAACGAGTTGAAATTGGAATATTTCTCATTAATTGAATCAATGATCATTTTAGTAATGAGTGGGTTGTATAAGCTTTGACATAACTATAGAAGACTTAAGGAGATAAATCCTTCAAACATTAAAAATGGGATATTTACCATATTTGATATTGTTTGATGACTGAATAATGTAGGTACTAATTACAATAACATATTGGTATTACCTGTTGTGCGAGAAAAATATATGGCTTAGGTATCTAGTATGAAATAAGTATAGGTAGACAGTCAGCACAGATATGTCTATTTTACATATTGAAAGAAAGACATGTCTTCAATGAGGTTGAATCGTAAAGAATTTTAAACCAGTTTAAGAGATATAGTTGAGCTTAATATCTGTTAATAATAGATAAATTGTTATACCTATTCATTATACATTATATATAGCCATATTATAATAGGTAGAGGTACGTTACCTATACCTAATATATAGTTATATATTACTTAGATGATATTATTAATTTCTGTACAAATAACTGCATCATAGATTAGTTTATTTAAGCAGCCTTTAAAAATATTTTGTTAATAAAGCAAAAATGAGAAGAAAAAAAAGGTGATTCAGTAAGAAATAATTTTAAGCTCCACATACCCCCCCCCCCCCTACGATTGAAAGGCCTAGTTACGCCAATGTGGCTATGTCTATAAAGTTCTTTAAGAAACAAATCTGCAGATTATCGATAACACACGAGTTCCTCAATCCAATCCAATCACATAATATTATTGTTTTTGTTATTTGTTAATTTAGGTACTATAATATAATATTATCAACTATTGGATTTGCAGCGTATAATATTGTAATATTTATCAAACATTTAATTGTTTTCGTGACGACGATAACCAAGACAGATCTAATAGTAAAATACTAATGCGTAATACCTACTAAAATATGTGTTTACGACTGAAAGCCTTAAAAACGAAAAATGATTAGGAACGATTACCTATTATAGCGATAGTTCATTTATTTTTAATAGCTAGAGAAAAAAATAGTAATTCGACGATTGTACCGATTGGATTAAAAGAATATAGTTATATAGTATGACGTACTATATTACAATAATGCGCAGGCAATAAGCGTTTGTTTGAAATGTTAAGATCAGTCGGTAGGTATATTATACTGTATTATGGAACTATACAGATTACTAATAGCCACGCGCACTCTGTAAAATACAATAATAATAATATTATTATAATCTCGGTGTAAACATTACGAACGTACGAACGGTTTTAAAGAGGCCAAAAACGCGATAGGCTTGACTGCTTGAGTCACCCGTTCCTGCAAATGTATAAGATAATAATAAAACATTACAATGGTAATTCATGTATGTACCTACGCTTGACCTAAATATTATATATTTATATATTATTAGCAGTACCTATCTATATCGTATAACGAGTTACGAGAGGTATCTCGGAGCCAATTCTCAATACGAATCCGTTAAACTTGGCCTAAACATAAATAATTTCATTAATAGGTAGATAGTTTATTATACCTCTAGTTATTAGATTAATCGGTTGAAAGTTCAACTAATAATTTAAATCCTTACTCACAATATTATGTAAATGAAAGGCACTGAATAAATTACGGACTTCAAGTAATATATCATAGGCAATAATTGCATTTTATTGCAATAAACGTTTTGATAAACAAAAAAAATGAACTCAATTATATGTGTGGGTACCTATAGTCAAAAAATATAATTTTTATTTTTCTAAGCAATTTACAGTCAAACATAAATAGTATTGTATAGGATCACTCATGTTTTCCCTATTATATTCCTTCGTTGATATTGTATATTCAAAATAGTTACTGATTTTGTACGATTTGTTGATTTATACTTCGTTCTGGTGTCAATGACTTTTTATACGATTTCCTAAACGTTTATTTATTAATATGTGAATATAAAATTCTCCAGTCTTATACAATGACGAAAATATATTATGTTTTAAATTAGGCGAAATAGCTAGACTATAATTACAAGCTACACATTTAATGAGTCAAATTGTTTGTTTCACATTCTGTATAATATTATGCACGTTCAGACACCATATAGATAGTATCATTGTTTTAAATCGTTCAAAACAATCCTTGGTAGTAATTTACAAGTAGATAAGATTTCTTCTAGACAATTTCAGTATTTCAAAATTGTTTTACATGAATATTGAATATGTACCTACGACCAAACGCATTTAATTTGTACAAGTAATATAGATCAGAGGTTCTCAAACGTTTGTTTTTGTGTTGATACCCCATACATATCTTATATTACAATGATTAGACGCGTACCACTTGCGAAATAAAACGCTAACAAAACTATTTAAATGATTAATTGGTAAAATACTATATAATCATTTTTAATTTCAATCCTGTACCAGTTTGTTAACCTCTGATACAGACAAATTATAGACAATATAGTATATCGTATTTTACACTATATAGGTACCTACTAGCTTTTAGTGTAAAATAGGAAATTAAAAATATTATATTAAGCAAAATATTGTTTTAATAATATTATATTCTCCTCTAATAGTTTTAAGGATTTTTTATCAGTACCTAATGTCAATCGTGTTCTATATTATAATATTAAAGCGATAACGTTTTTATCCATAGTTGGCGATTATAGGATGTGGTATCTTTACTCAAAAAAATTAACAACTTACTAATATTGGTCTGCAGTTGGAGATAAATCAAGACCGCATTAATTTCCAGCATACTGTTTATTTATTGTGAGTGACTGATAAGTTTGGTATATAGTTTTTGTATTATTGTTAGTTTATAGTCGAGATAAAGATGTTAAACATGTCAAAAGTTGAACCAATAGGGAACAATCCCTATTGGTTGCGCAGTTGAATTCCTATTTTAGGATTTTGGTGCTGACATTGAACCCACTACGTGAAGTTCGCGGAGAAAGGAAAGCCCCTTTGTAACTTTTTAATGGGTATAGCACTCATTTTGAAAACGCTACTGTTGAATAGCACTAAATAATGGTATTATAGTGGAAATCAGTGCTCGAATAGTCGAATTTTTCCGCTAACTTCACTTTGTTTGGGTAAACCGCGGCGTACTCACGTACTTGTGAGCGTGGCATACGTGAGGCGTCGGTATTTTGTTTATACTTTATAATATAGATCAAAAAAGCCAATTTGTAAATCTGCTTTTAAGAAAAAAAATCAGTTGTTGGTCGTTAGTAAAAAAGATAGTCCCCAAATCGTATAATCATGCTGGCCGATTAGTATTCGCTGCTATAGCGCGCTATACCCGTCGTCTGGGAGATAATTGATTTGCTCGACACCGGCGTAAAACGAAATCTGAATATTAAAATTTATTTTGTTCACTCGCAATTTATTATTCGACGTCACCCGTACTATAAGACTCATAATCATGTCAAACTTCAATGATTCCGAAAACATAGACAGTCGACACTATCATCGAGTAGGTGCTGGAAGACCTTATGACGGCAGTGGTATCGGATTTCAGCGAAAGTCAAATCGAGAAGACCGTCCAGTCGGTGTTCCAGGAATCATAGCCATGGAATTTGACTACTTCGACTGCTTCGGCCCGAGAGCGACGACGACGGAGGCTAAAGGTACCGGCGCGGACAATGACGCCGTCCCGAGTGGCGACTCGTGACGGTGACGACGGAAACCGCAGAGCACACGTCGGGTGAGTGATGGACGACTATAATATTATATTACTAGCTGATCCCGTGCACTTCGTTGACAATTAAAAATA